ATACCCGACGACAGGTACCTGTAATACAAATCAATGTATAATTAAAAGGAAGTGTGTCACGACAATCCAAGCACGCGCTGCACAATACTTTCAAGTATAACGAGCGCACATCACCAACATTCACTTCCTGACAAATGAAAAGTTGTGCAGACACGTATACGCAGTCAAACTGATCTTACCTCCAAGTCAGCGCGAGGCGCACTCCAGAAAAAATGGGTTCCCTCGAGGGGTATTGGTCCTTCGTGAGCTTCTCCTGCACCAAGCTGTGCAGCACGTCAAAAGTAGCCGGCTACATTCGGTAAAACATGTAGAACAGGGACTCGTCACCGTTCTTCATTTCTTTCAACTGTAAAATAGAGCCAACATGCATTCAATTCTACCACTATGACGCGGTTGTCGCGCAGCACTTACCGCTGTGAAAAACTCCCTTTCACCCGCTCGATTCGCCCATGTAGGCCGTACCAAGTACTTATTCAAGAAAGCTCGCCGTCTCGTAAGGATGGTGAAGAGCTCCAGAGCAGCTACCTTCCTTTGTCTTTCCAGTTCACGACGTCGGAAACGAATCAAATCGACAGACGCACGCAAAACAACGCAGACAAAGACTACACCCGTGTTTCACTTCACCGATGCGCCATGGATCCACTGCACGTAACCCTGCCCGAGTCACGTGTGCGCAACAAGAAAATAACGCTATGTTTACACATGTTCATATAAAAAAGTGCTGCAAGGCAATAATAAATGGCTTACCTTTATTGTGCTACAACACATTTTGTCTTTACATTCCATATTGCTGACTACGCGGCGTTTTGGGGACGAGTACATGGCTTCATGTCAGCAACAGTGGAGTTCGCTCGCCGAAGCCGTCGTGTGAATGAGGTATGCCTGCGCTAGTGACTGATCACGCGAAGGCGATCTACGTCGCATTGCTCGTCGCTGTCGCGTGCATTTTCGCGCTTAAGAGGTTTGGCCTTCAAATGTCAGTCAGTTGCCCCAGATGGCATTGGCAGGTGAAACACTGGTAGTCGTATCGAGCTGGCAGACTAAAATTTGCTTAACATGGATGTCACTGTAGCGCATTTGCTCTGCAAGCACGTTTCGGAGAAGCAATGCGACACCGTTTACAGGGACCCTCTCATTCTCACCGCAAGTACCACGTAGTGACCGAGCAAGGCTTGATGCTGGGCGAGTTGGTTGATGTTAAAGGAATATGTATGCTTCCCCGTGAGTCCAACATGGGAGACAGAAATTAGGTTGTACTGTTTCTAATCAATAAAGAGACATGGCTGGAGTTTGCATGACATGGGGCCACCGTTCCCTTCGTCGTACTTTATGGCCTGCGAAGCGACCGGGACTCGCAAAACTATCCCTGTCTGACGAATGAGTGCAGTGTGTCTTTTCGACGAATCACCTTTTTTTAATGAATGATGCGCATTCGTGAAAGCGTGTGATGAATAACAATGCCTCTATACTTGTTATGAACTTACCGTTTTTTAAAATGTTTACCTTCTTGTCCGGCTACTAAGCGCAAGCCCATGTTCAGCTACATCCGCTCGTCAGCCCTACGAAGTTAGCCCTACGTCTCCTCTACGCTATCTTCAGACATAGCAACTTCTAAACATGCGCAATTTCTAAACATTTCTCCTTCAGGCAAAAGCGGTGGCATATAAAAGCGAGCTGAACGAAGATAACGAGGAGATGCTCGGTCGGCGATCACAACAATATATGCACTGCGCAGAGACGAGCAGTTGCTGATTTCAGCCGCCAGTGCAGCATCACACGGTTGCATGGTTGTTGTCTACGATAACATATATGCTCGTCTGCTTAATTTACCCCCTTCTCCCCTTCTTATTCGTGTCAGGAACCATAAAGAAAACAGAACGCCTAAATTTCCCTCATTCTCGTCGTCCTAAAGGAACTCTTTTGTCGAAGGTGCTCCCCACTAAACAAAAAAAAAAAAGATCCTCGCCTTCCTATGTCACAAAGCATTTTGCTTATATCACGCCCTGCAATCATCAGAAGTTCAGGTAAGGCTATGTGAATGCCGCGTTTCGATATGGTCATTTCTGGCCGTGTTGCGGTGCTATGGTGTGCTGCAGTGTTGCCCTGATCCGTTCCATTGTTGCCGCTGTATTGCATCGTTGGCGACAATGACAGCCACACGTCTGCCGAATGCGTCATTGCACAAACACCGTATAGGTATTAGGATAATGAAGATTATGTGGCTGACCAATTTCACGCGTATTTCGCTGCAGCCCCACAAAAATATGCCAGGAATTAGAATGTTTCGTGCACGTTAAAGAACCCCAGGTGGTCTAAATTTCCGGAGCCCTCCACTACGGCGTCTCTCATAATCATATAGTGGTTTTGGGACGTTAAACCCCACATATCAATCAATCAATCAGAATGTCTCCATTACATGGTCCCCCCACTCATCAACCCCTTCACCTGCCCTCCGGGAGCACACCGCATTCCCGCGGCAGGATGAGTGACCGTGCTCTCAGTGCTCTGCCCAACACTCCCCGCTGTCATTCCCTTCTACTCCTGTTCACTCAATGTAACTCACCATAAGAAGCAGCTGCCGTCGAGCGCAGTACCTCTCATATGCGAGGCTGCGTTTATATAAAACTAACTGACGCGCCGAGACTATGCTCTTCAAGCTGCAATGTGCCACCGGCGAAAAAATTCCGCTTGAGTTAAAATACAAAGATTTCCGGGTTGGTACCATTTTTGTTTTTTTTTTTGTAAATTTTCAACACATCTGTTCTTCGAAATTCTCGCCTGAGATATGTGCTAATACTGTACTCTCAGTCTGATATATGCGCCCATTGCTTCCATTCCTTGACCTTGATTGTTCCGGAGTGAGTGAGTAAAAACTTTATTGAACATGTCCGGCGTCATTGAGCGGGGTGGGGCTACAAGCACCCCGGCCTAGGTGACGGCCTCGAGCCCTTGAACCCGGGCGGCATCCTGGGCTTGCCGGACGGCCCACAGTTGATCGGCAAGGTCGTGGCTGAGCAGAGCCGCCTCCCATAGCGCCTCGCAGTTCGAGACTGCCATGTCTACCGGGCTCGTAGGGGACTGCTGCGCGTTACCGGTACACTTCCACAGCATATGCTGCAGCGTCGCTCTGGCTTCGCACGCCTTACACGCGTCGGACGTATAAATGCCTGGGTAGCAGAGGCGAAGGATCGCCGGATTCGGGTACGTATGTCTGTAGTTGTCTCCAGGCAACCTGCCGTTTCTTGTTTAGTTTGGCGTGGGGTGGTGGATATTTGCATCTGTTCAGTCTGTAGTGTTGCGTGATGTCTCTGAAAGTGGTCATGCGATCCCCCCCCGTCCATTCCCGCATCACTGTCGAAACACCAAAATTTTGCGTGAACCGAAAAATAATAAAAAAAAAATGGTTTTACTCTGGAAAAAATATTAGATGACGTTTTGGTTACGTTTTTGTTCTGGTCAAAAACAGTGTTTTTTTACGTTTTTTGATTTTCCTTCCGTTCGAATACACTGGTTTTAGGACGTCATGGTGCACTTGATGGATGACTTATGGCTCCCGCGTAAGTGATGGAAAGCTGACGAAATTGTCCCCGCGTAAGCGCGAGCGAGCATGCTTTGCAAATGAACAAGTTTGCCCACACGCTTGCACAGCTTCTTTTTTTCAATGTACGCATGCCTCTTCCTTTGCGCCCTATCCGCGTACATTCTTTGTCTTTTTTTTTTTTTCAGCCCAGCATAACGTTCCAACGAGCTCAATGTGAAATCCTTGCCCGCACTTTCCTTTCTTTCGTTTCACTCTTTCTCCCTGCACAGCACAAAACTTGAAGTGATGCATGACGTTCCTGAAATGATGCTGCGACAGGCTTTGCGCCACAGGAGCAAGATCACTGGAATGTGGACGGGCGAAACGAAGGCAGATGGAAGACACACTGCGGGGTTGGATAAAGTGGCGCACTGTTTAACAAAATATTTGGAGGCAACTACGATTAAGGAAAAAAAAAACACTGCCAGGCGTTGACCCTTGCCAGCTATCCATAATTCCCGGGTTGTTTTCGACTTTAACTGAGTGGTAAAAAAAGGGGAATGAAACATGAAAGAAAAAACTGCGTAGTCATGCTGAAGTTGGCATTCTTGAAGTTGGTGTTCTTGAAGCGTAACTAGGGTGGCAGCTGCGGACGATAGATAGCTCATTCTCCGTTAAATAATCGAGCACATGGCATTACCGCTTCCGCATGCTACGTTTACGCATGACGATGAGGAGGCATGCAGCGGACCCTGCGGTTGCGGCACAGAACGAAAGACTCCCGTACGTGATTGATATGACTGGCTTCGACGTTCTGTGAACAACGAGGAAGTTGGCGAGACTTAATTCCTTCTTACACGGGTGGCCCGGAAACGTAGTCCTCGAATCGTGCCAGCGTGAACACTACCTATTACGATGGTCAGCGTTCGAAATACTATTGCCTTCAATTAGACAACTCACTGTTTTTGATATATTTTATGATGTCCCAGCAAGCCCAAATAGCTGGTTTTCGAAAGGCTGTCACATTTTGAGCACACGAGAAGGAACTCTAAGTGATAACGTAGACTCAACAGGCTTCTAAAATGATTCATAGCAATGTACAGCCATATCTACGCTGTGATTTTTTTTTTCATTTGTGTGTCGCATTTTCTTTTTTTTTCACTCTTCAGACTAAGCAGTGTGAATGCTGCGTGGCAATATTGTCATTTATGGTTGTGCTGTCGTGCTACAGTATCTTGTAGTGCTGCCCTGGACCGTTCCACACAACTATTTCTTATGGGCGCGCTGAACAGTACGACATGCCACACGGCATGCCGCCAATCATCACTAGCTGGGCGCATTGCGTGATGACCGCAGGCATTCCACAGCGATGGCTACCCCTGACTAGCTGCGCAGGTCTGGAATGAACGACAGTCTTGCATAACATCTAACGCCACCTGTTGTTCGTGTGGATTGGAAATTTCAAAAGGACATCGATAGCGGATACGTCTTTAACACTTTTTATTCTTTCTTAAGTCTGCAGCACTCGAGCCTTGTGCGACCGCGTCCCAGAGGGTCACAGACGAGCATTGTTTCTGGCCTGATTTCTTAATCTGAAAGATGAAAAAAAAACGCTGTAAAAATTCGCATACTACAAAACTGGCGTTTAATTTGCAGTATCAATGACGACAATCGACACTGCATTAACATAGCGACAATTACAAAACAGTTTTTAGATCCACAGTGCCATCTCTCGTGGTGTCTAAATCCTCATAGCAAAGCGTGAAATAGGAGTAACTCTTGCTGTGCCAACAAGAACAATGCTGGGATAGACACGGTGGACGATTATTCCCACCAATATCAATGTTGAGGAACAAAACTGTTTAATTTGCCCAAAAAACGTGGTGGATACACCTATAAGTACAGGCATTAAGACCACCCCATTGAGAAAACTCTGCCACACGTTGCGTTAACCGATGAGCCACCCCAGTGGATGTAAGTGAAAATTCACAGGTAGGGCACAAGAATAGGAAAAAATCCAAGAAAACGAGAAATTGAGCAAAAATGAAACTAGGCGTAATGGCGAGCTTAAATAATACCACTCAAAATACAAACGACAGTTTTGCATAAGGGTGAACGCTGCCAGAGTCGTTGAGGTGCCCAAAAATGACAAATAAGGTTCACAAAACACATCAAAATCACCCCCACAGTGGCATTTACGGTGTCTACTCAGTCGACTAACTGAGCTCACTGTTTATGTATATATATGGCAAAATGAAGTCACGTGAGACTTTTTGTAGATAACTTTCGTTCGTAACTCACATAGCGTAGGCGTCCGCACCAAAACTCCTGCAGCACAGTAAAGTCATGGCGCATGAAGAACCTTGCCTGGCAAATTCCGTTCACCTGAAAAGACAACGTAAAACGAATGGGAAACTGATCGTGAAAACAGCTGACGTTACGACGACGGCTGCAATCAT